TAAATATTTAGTTAAATAACTATTCAAAACACCATTTATCATTTAAAAGAAATTAAAAAAATAAACCATATAAATTTAATATAATTATTATTAAAAAAAAAAATGAAAAAATACCGTCCCAATTGTATCTTCTCAAATCATTTTCAAATTATATTTATATGATTATAATATAACAAATTATAACAACTATTGTGTTTTAACACATTTTTGAGACAATAATGAATATAGTATAATTTATTAAAGTTAATAATTATTTAGTTCTAAAAGAAGTCGGCGACTTTTGAAGGGACTCAAAAAGTCGCCAACAGCCATAAGCAAATGTCATAATTGTTTTACTATTATTTATTAAAACACTGTAATTTAAAAATAACTATATATAAAATAAATGATATTAAAAAATTAAAAATTTTTTTCTTGATAAAAAAAACAATTATTTTCGAACTTTGTTTTTTATAATTTTATTTGGTCAAAAATAACATAACAATTTTGGTCACTTTTTACAAAATTGTATTTTTTTACATTTTTTTTTTAAAGTTGTAAAAAATACTAATTTTTTCTATATCTCAAATATCAAAAAAAGGTGAGGTTTTTTACTATAATTCATAGATCCTATTCAAAAAAAAATTCTTATTATTTTAGCAAAATGAAAAATTATATGTTTAAATTATGTTAATAATTACACTCAATTATATATTAATAGTTATTCTAACCATATTATCTAATTATTTTTTTTATTATTTTATAACCAGAGTTTTATATTAAAATAATTAAAGAAGATAGATTCATAAAAATTATGAATAAAAAAAACTAAAATAAGGAAAGGCAATTTTTTCATACTTTTACTTAAAAATTATAAACTCTTGTTTTTGCCTTTTAATTGTGGAAAATGGGACTAATTTAAAATATATGCATTACACGTCATGATACAAAATTAATTTTGCTTCTGAGTAACCAACTATTTATTTATGAACATAATATGAACTTTGTTTTAAGTGATGAATCCAAATATAACTATGCATTATAATTACATTAATTATCAATATAAGATTTGTCATCTAAGTATATCAATGCCGGATCATTAACTTAATTAGGATGATTATAAGAGTAACCCGTTATATTGCTGTAATTTATAGCAATAATAGTCAAACACATTACTTCACACCATTTCTTCAATACCTCAATGAGTTAAATAACGCAACATTTCATCGAAAAACTCCAAAGACAAACATTCATGTCGAATTCAAAACCCATTCAATCAACACTCTCTAAGAAAGAGAAGGACGTACTGAACAAGCAGAACTCCACGAACTCGAGATATTACTACATCCACGCTTGCATGAATTATATGGCCCTTGCACGAAACTATCAGTTCATCGTTTTAAATCAAGTGAAACACCAACTTAAAATGGCCGAGCGCTTTGAGATCACCCAAATCTTCGATACCAATGGGGTACTTGTATATGACAATGCTTACACTTATAAAGTCGAAAAGGGTGCTTTAGTCTTCAATGACAACGACGAGATGGTCCAAGTCGATTCAAAGCCAATGAAAAATCAGAACGACAGACAACTCCTTTTAATTAATTACTTTAACCACAAAATTGCAAGGGACTTTCCAACTGAAGACTTGAAAGAAAAAGGAACTAAAAAGTCGAAGAACCCTACAAAAGTGTCAAGTGAAAGACTTAATAAATTGCCATGCTTGGTCAATGGTCAATTCGTTTTAAAAGACAGAGAATATGCCGAGAACGTTGATGGACTCAATGCTCTTCATATTTTTAAAAACTTTTTTGAAGGAATCGAATACGGCAAATTAAAGAAGAGGGATACTGCTATATTCTTGGGTAACAGTGTCCCGATAAATTATACTAAAAAGGTTGTTTGCCTCCAACAGGTGACACTTAACGACTATTTGAGTCTTATTAATACGTCAACAAATACACCTCAAGGAACTTTAAGCTCTGAAACTAATACCCCTTCGAACCAAATAACTCAACAACCAACAGTGACTACTGGAGAAAGTGTGGGAACCAATTCTATTAATGCTAACAACACGGTGGTCATACAACAAACTAATTCGGCAACCTTTGGTGTTGGACAAACACAAAGTGTGAGTTGTGGTGAGGCGTTACAACCCACTCAATATGTCTTTATTCCTCAAGAAAGTCATTTGGTACCAATGTATTACGATTACTTTACGAATACAATATATCCAATCAACTTCATTAACTCTTCACAAATGCAGAACGAACAAATCAACAACTTGGAACCAGTTTTCTTTACCACAACTGGCGAAGCCAGTGTGGAACAGTCGCAAAATCAATTTGAATCTTTTATACAGAACTCTAATTGATTGAGCGACTTATTTTATTATTTAATAATTTTTTTATTATTTCATTGATAGAATTTCAAAGTAGTTTATAATTAATACAAGAATTACTATATATTTTGAGTTATTAATAATAATATATTTAATAATATATTTAATAATATATTTTATAATATATTTAATTATTACTAATCCAATAAATTACTTAGTAAAGAACTATTAAAATCAATGTTATTACTTCTATTGACATCTCTTACTCTTTCATCAGGGAATGAAGGTGGTTGTTTCTCGACTGAATATTATGATAGTGCGAATAAAATATGTATACCATGTGAAGCTGGTCAAGAACCAAATGAAGAGAAAACTGGGTGTATTAATTGTAAGGCAGGTTCTTACTCTACTAACACTTCGAGGTGTTTGCCATGTGTTGCTGGCACATATTCAGATTCAGATGGTGCGGATGAATGTCTTCAATGCAAAGCGAATAAATATTCGGTAACAGAAAACTCAGTGAAATGCGACTCGTGCGAAGCCCCAATGATCCCAAACCCAAGTCACACGGGCTGCGTGTTCTGTGCAGATGGGACTCGTTACGTCGGATTCGACAAAGTCCTTCCTTGTGAATTTTGTGGGAAAAATTCAATCAGCTCCGACAACAACACGTCTTGCGAACAATGTGATAAGAAACACATGGCTTCCAACAACATATGTTTGCCATTTTGTAAAGAATCAACCACAGAAGATTGCTTCAACTCAACATGTGAAGTAAATGAACAATACATTCAAAATGATTGTACTGACTGTGATGTCGGGTACAAGTGTGACTATGGTGAAATGACTCAATGTGGAAAGAAAGAGGTGTGTGTGAATGGTGTGATAAAAGAGACGTGTAACGGGTTAGAAGAGTTGACCGATGACAAGCAGGTTTGTTATTAATACTTTTATTATAATTGTATAGTACACGAGTTGAATATAGAAGGAAAAGGAGAATGACCGAAGAGGGGTGTAAAGTCATACCAATTGTGTGGGTTATATTGATAGGCATCGGGACGACGGTTGTGATACTAATAGCGTTTGGCGTGGTATTTGTAGTCTCGAGAATATTTGTAAAGAAGCACACCATCGACTTCTCGCAGAATAATGCACAAGAGACAGACCCAACTAAGGTGTATTTACTTTCATTTTAGAGAGGTAAATGATGTGTTAATTAAGTCGTTTTCTTTGGTGAGTTTTTCAAAGTAATAATTATAGTTTTGATTAAAGTAATTATTATAGTAATAATAATTATAGGACAAGTATAGTAATAATTATAGAAATAGAAAATATATGAAAAATGGTCACAATCAAGGGAACTGAATAATCATGGTATTGATCGTCTTATTACATGTACTCAATTTGATCAATATGTCTCGTGCTAAAGATCTTTATAGCGCAGTGAAGAGAAACCAATGGATGATAGAGAAAGGTAAAACTGTTGATGCGGTGGCTTTTGGATATTATGAAGACACTCATATGACAAAAGGGTGGGGATTTCTCACTGTCGAAACGAATAAAAAGAGTCCTTCCGAGCAACAAGCCTTTGCTGCTGGGTTTCTTGAAGGATTTCTTACTAAACATCTTCTGTTTGTTATCTTCATAATGTGTCACAAATATAGTAATATTATAAATATAATATTATAATTATATTATACTCATTAGACAGTCAAAACTTTTGGGACAATTATCGACTTAATGAATATGGCAAATTAGGACCACCCCGTCAATTAACCAATTTTATGGCAAAACAATATTTGTGGTGGGCGGAGCAATGTAAGACCAACAAGACTGAATATTGGAAGAATCAAAATTTAATATTTAGACAATTTCGAGGGTTGGTCTCTGGATATAACAAATATAATAATAAGGACAAGAAGTTAAGTGTGTTGGAGATATACTTTATTAACGCTATGGGAGACTTAAGCACACTCAATAAATTGGTCCCACACGACTCTTTACCAAAGTACTCGATGATCAATCTGGAGAAATTGAATGCACACGAGATATTCCACGAATGCACTGGCTTCATTCGAATACTTCCACACAACAAAGACATAGTCTTGGCACATAATACGTGGAGACCTTATTATGCGATGTCCAGGATATACAAAACATATGTATTGGCTTACACCCGCAACGCTCGACCTATCACCTTTCCTTCAAGTCCGGGATTTCTTCACTCGAAGGATGACTTCTATACTCTCAAGTCAAAGAGAACCCATTTTGGTGTTATAGAAACAACTAACTCCGTGTTTAATACTTCGATCTTCAAAGGAAATATCACCTTCACTTCACTGTTTACGTGGCAGAGAATCATGTCGGCAATTTACTTTGCTAAAACAGCGCAACGTGTGTTACACGCGTTTTCTCAGTATAACAGCGGGACTTATAACAACCAGTGGATGGTCTTGGATTACACAAAATTCACAGATACTGGTAAACTCCCACAGAAAGACTTGTTACTGATTGCAGAGCAAATTCCGGGGAGAGTCGAGATCCAAGACGTCACTTCTGTTTTAATAAAACAGGGGTATTGGGCGTCATATAACTCGCCATATTCTAAGACAATAAGAGACATTTCTGGTTATACAGAACGAGAGAAAGACTACGGGGAAAGGTACTCATACACCAAATCACCTCGACGGAGGATCTTTGATCGGGACGCAAAACATATCAACACACTCGACCAAATCAAGAAGTTCATGTTACTCAATAAATTTAAGACGGACCCACTCACTGAAGGTAAACCAGGCGCAACTATCGCGGCAAGATATGACTTGGACGAGAATCGACCAAGTCCATTCGGAGCAGTCGACTGCAAAATCAATTCAAAAACGATGGGATTGGACGCTTGGATCTATGGAGCTCCGTCACACGAAGACAACCAACCATTTGTGTGGAGCGACAGTGTATTCACAGACGTCGTACACAAAGGATTACCCGACAAGTACGACTTTGGGTGGATTCTTGCGAAGCAATGAGCCAATCTAAGGGATGGTATTGAATTATACTTTTATTATTAAATTACTATTTCTTATAGTTATAGAGTAGTATTGTGACTAAATTGAAACGAGCCAGTTTTTTGTGATGGCGGGAAAGAACACAAGAGAGAAAAGTGACCGCACAGACATTATTAATTATAACCCTTCTCCAACAACGTCTTCGATGTTTGTCCTAGTCATCGCGTGGAGTAAACAGACTATGGTGTCATTCATTGTCACAAAATTACAACGAAAAATGTTACACAAGATGATACAAGAACAAACGAGCAGCGGCGATGAGAAAGAGTATATAAGCCAGTAATGTGTTGAACACCAAACAAATGACGAAGAACAACACAAAATAGAACACAGTGAATGGAGCACCACCAAGTCTCTTTGGAAGAATAGTTGGGAAGAAGTAGAAGAGTGTCACAAAGAGTGCATTGATGACAAGTTGTGTCAAAAAGAATTTAAAATTGATGAACAGTGTTGGGAAGAGACAGATGACAAATACTATAATATAGTATTTATTATAGTTCATAAAGTTCTTTGAGAGACGAAGACCAACAGCGGAAGGAATACTATATGAAGACTTATCCCCTACACACGTGAAAAATGTCACTTTCTCATTGAACATCTCGTTCCCAAAATAGCCGGGGATATTGTCGAGACCCTCTTGGGCAACTTGCTCATATGGTGATTGTGTTGTTTCTTGTTGATCCATTTGATAATCCAGTTCTTATCTTTTTTTTCAAGTTTAGTCTCTTTTTTGTTAATGAAATTAACAAGTTTGTTTTATAAGTGTATAATTTAATTAACGAGTACTTTTTTGGTAATACATGGGAACAAAAGCAACTCGTTAATTTAAATTGTTTTTTAAAAAAATAACTCGTTAATAAATTATCAAGGAAAAACACGAGAGAACTTGAAAAGGCATGAATGACATCCTCGATGAATTAATCCTTTTTTGCACCGACGCGAAAGCGAAACTCTCCGAGTCACAGAAAAAGCTCGCGACAGTAAAAACACAAGTTGGTACATCGACACAATCGACAGACGAAAAAGTGAAGGAAATCACTTGGGAAATCGAATCGTTACAAAAAGACCAAACAGATGTTGAAATTATTGAGTTGCTTGCGCAAATTAAGTCAAAGTTGTTAATGAATTACACATACGCAGATGAAAAAAAGGGTGAGGAGCTCACACAACTTCTTAAGAGTTTGACAAGTTGATTTTCATTTATTTATTGTGAATTCTTAGTGTTTTGTGTTGTTCTTTATAATTTATTGTATAATATACTATAACAATTATAATTTTTAAAATATAATAATATAATATTACATTACATTACATTATAGTATAGTATAGTATAGTATAGTATACTAGTATATTATATTATAAAGTTGAATGTTATAATATCTTAAAAACATTTGAATGGATACAGACGATAATCGTGTTTTAATAATTGATAACGGGGCTGCAAATATTAAAGTTGGATTTGCTGGAGACAAAGTCCCAAATAATGTGTTCCCAAACATAGTTGGTAAACCGAAATATAGACCTTCGTTTGGAAATTATTTGAAAAGCCTTTATATAGGGGATGAAGTGATGTATAAGTTAGGATGTTAAATCCAATTCATCCGATTGAGAAAGGGAAGATCCAAGACTGGGACTTGATGAAAGAAATATGGGCTCACACTTTTAACAATGAATTGAGAGTAGATCAAATAGATCGTTCAGTATTACTAACAGAAGACTTTGAACTTCCACAACTTGCACGAGAAAAGATGGCGCAACTCATGTTTGAGACTTTTGAAGTCAAGTCTATATACATCACACGTCCGTGTCTAATGTCTTTAATTGGGTCCAATAAAACCACTGGAACTCTTATTGAGAGTGGAGAATCGACTTTTAGAGTATCTTTGTTTAAAGACGGATCCAATTTAAGAAGTTGTGACTATCGAACTTCAATTGCTGGTAATAATAATAACAATATTATATAATAATTGTAAACCTGTTTTATTTATTGAAGTCTATAATAAAATAATCAACTTGGTTTATTTTGTATATATTTTTGAATCAAGTGGTTCTTATCAATCAAATTTTAAATCTCAATCATCTCTTGATGTTTATATGTAAGTTGAATACAGCATATGTTTTTTATATAACTATTTTTATTTTTTATATGAAGTAAAATATTGGATCATAAAAATACATCAATTTAGAATACATAGGTATCTACATGTATTTCGTTTATAAAAGTAAACATACAATGATCTTCAATAGATGTAATATACATGTTTGTTATATGTTGTATTGTATAAATTGTATATATCATCGAGTTTTTTATATATATCGAAAAATTCAGACTTAAAAATAACTCAAAAATACAAAATTTTATAAAAAATGAAAGATTGATGATTACTATTATAATGATCTGTATAAAATACAATTTCAGTTCACACAAAAACATTTTTATAACAATTATTAAATAAAAATAAAAAATCCCAATATAAAAAACTAATTGTTTTTCAAGTGTAATTCTTAATTTAATTGGCCGTTTTAAAAATTCTTGACTCATTTTCATCCGACTAAAATAAACTTTCCCAAAAGTGCATTAAAAACAACAAAAAATAATATTGAAAATTTTAGACTATTTGTTGAAAATGTTAAATAAAATGTTTTTCATTTTTACAAAAAAAGAA